AGGAACAGAACATGAAATTTCACCTTGAATCCAATTTTCATTGAAACTTGTGGGAAACTTGATTATTTTGTACAGTTCAAGTACTTCGGAGTAATGTATTTACAAACCTGTTTGCTAATTCTAAGGTTAATTGCTTAAATTTAAAGGATTTAGCTCCTTACCTCTAGTTGTGTTTATGCATTGTTCTGGGCTGAAATAACCTCTTTTTGCTTCAGAGATAAGGCGTGCTTGAACTTTCATACAGTAAGCTGTCTCTGGTTCAAGATCATCAATTATATCTCTAGGATAAATAGCTCTATTTTTTGGCTGTAAGAGACCATTACAAAACACCATATTAAAGGAACTGTTCCTTCCCAAATCAATTCAATCTGTAACAAGAAGTGTGACCATTCTAAAGAATCACCTAGCACAGGGGTTGTCAACTGGGGATACACGTACCCCTGGGGGTACTTGGGAAGGAGACAGGGGATACGTGGCAGCAGCTCAGAGAAACAGGGGGCAGGGCCACCAGCACTTTGCGCTGCTTGTGCCGCCACATGCCGTGTGCTGCTGGCGCTTTTATTTTCCACTGCTGCATGCCGCCGGGGGGTACACAGACTAAAAAACATTGAAAACCCCTGACCCAGCACATCAGACATGTTTAGGTACATTCAGGGAGCACTGCATTATAACATATGATTGACATTCTTAACATCATTTTGAACATTAATTCGTGGAGATTGATTTTGCTTTAGTTTAAGCCATAATATACCCAAATCTTTATGTACACTCAAGCTCATTAATATCTCCTGAAATCTATAAAAGTTGAGTTTAAAATGGTCAAACGAAATAAATGTAATCCAAGTTGTTTCACACTTTAAAAAAAATATAAATTCAAGAATGTGCTAGGTAGGGTCTTAGAATTTTTTTCCTTTAAAAATGGTTTACAAAACCAAATTCCTCACCATGTATATCCCCACTTGTTTGGCATTTATACTAACACTACTGTATGAAGTGAGAGACAGGTATTTTCTATGCTGGATGTTTAAGAAACACAAACAATCTAGCGAATGCTAGTAAACCAGCCTACAGCCTACAATTTCCATTCTAAATGCCTCGCAAGGAGTCATGCTGCTTTGTAGAATGCCAGAGATTGAGAAATAAGCAGAATATACCTGAGCTACTTTTACATGACTGGAAATATTCACACTTTGTCAATGCTAATCTTGTCAGGAATAAACCTTTAATTTTTCTTCTGCATTATCAGGGACTGTAGCATTTATATTTACTATCAATATATTTGACATATACTAAAAATCTTAGGAGTACAATATCTTATGTGATCATTTCAAATAATGTTTGTTAAATAATGTAGCAAGATGCAGGTGAGAAATTAAGATAATTCATAAATAAAAATTAACTCTAATATTTAGTTTTAGGGAGTCTCTGACTTAAGTAAAATTACAAGAATAGTTATTTTAAGACTGAAAGTCAAACACCTCTGCATTTGATGACTTTTTCCAGATAACGGCATTATAGGAAAAACTGTGCTGTGCCCACATTTTTTTCTTTGAATTTGCCTCTGGAGGGGAAATGTTGACTTTCATCACTCCATCTACAGATTCCAGCTGCACTTCTGGAGGACCAATTTCAGCTGTAGAATAAAAACAAACAAACAAACAAACCCATAAGTATAATAATTTTGAAGAGACAAAACAATATGTTTTAACCAATAAACTACAAAGAATGCAAGTCAAAATTCTTCTTAGGTGAAAATTAAATAAGCAAACTCCAAGGTTTATTCAAGACTGAAAAAAGTTGACATAATATCCTCTAGAAGCAGCACAGAATTTTACTGATTCTAAGACTAATCACACCTTTTCTATTCCAATTACCTATATCTAGTTATATAATAGCTATATTAAAGCTGTACTCATTTGATCTTTTGTCTGTTCAAATTTATAAAAGAGTCAGTTAAGCTTCTCAAAAGGAAAACTTTATTAGCAGTTAGATTAAATGTAAATAGTTTATTATTTGATACTATAAATCTACATTATATATATCATGCTAATGCAATAAGGTTGGAAAATCATGATAACAGGTGAGATTGTCAAAAGCACAAATGACATTTAGATTGCATATTCCATTTGTACCTTCAAAAGTCTCTTATTTTGTATTCAAACCCAATCCAATAGATATTGTATCCAAGTTCTTTTCCCTCCAACCAAAGAGATTTAAAATACTTTGGGAACAGGGGAAGTCAGATAGGAAAAGCTCAATGTCACTGAAAGCAGAGGAAAAGATATTAGCAAGAATTAAGCCCAGCCTACATCATTTTCATAGTGAGTTAGCTATTCTGATGGGGGCCATTTCCTATTGGAATAGTTTAAGCAGAATAACTCCTTTATGTGTTATGTACTCACAACAGTATAAATGTGATTTACACCACTATAAGTTCTTCCACTTTCCATACAATTCTATATTGAGATAAGCCATTTATGCTGTGATAACTGTGCCACTAAGAGGAAGGTAGTATTGGACTGTTTTACCTGTTACACAAGGTCTCAGAAAAGTTACTGTTCAACTGTTTACTGAATAGTTTCATAAGCCTAAATAAATGGCACAAAAATAGTTTAATAAAAGGCAACTGATTTATGCAAGAACACACACTATGTAATATAAATGTATACTATATATTTTATGCTGTGCTGTTATGCGAGTTGAAATACAGTTGCAAAAAAAATAACACAGTACATGTAATCCATACCTATTATATCTGGAATAAATATGAAAGGTTCTGACCACGGAGATTTTTCTTCTCCTCTTTCAGCTCTTACACGCACGGAATAGTTGCACAAATAATCTGTCACTGCTGAGGAAAGGTCACATTCGGTGACAGTGACACTTTGACACCCAGGTAACTCTGTCCAACTTGTTCCATTTTCCTTACAATCTTCCAACCTTTTGCAAAGGCAGAGTACAGTTAGATTTCTTCTGGTGACAAAACCAACATGTCAAAGTTCATTTAGTTTATTGAATGCCTCCTATCAACTATTCTAGATTACAAGAGATATTCTATTTAAACTAAATTAAATTCAATTATATTAAATCGGGACATGCAAATAGAATTCAGCAAATTCAGCATGGAATTTCCTTGCTAGTCTACTCCTTAACAGCATGAAAAAATATAAGGAACATTTCAGCATTTGGGAGGAAAGCCAGAATGTGCAATAATAAAAGGAGGAAAACTAATCATAGAATCACAAAGTTACAGTTGGAAAGGGCCTCAGGACCATCCCCAACTAGAACATCCCAGCCAAAACTTTTGTCTAGCCAGGTTTTGAAAACCTCCAAGGATGGAGCTTCTACCACCTCTCTAGGTAACCATTGCTCCTTGTTCTGTCATCTGCCACCACTGAGAACAGTCTAGCTCCATCCTCTTTTAAACGCCACTTCAGGTAGTTGAAGGCTGCTATTAAATCCCCCCCCTCAGTCTTCTCTTCTCTAGACTAAATAAGCCCAGGTCCCTCCGTCTTTCCTCATAAGTCATATGCCCCAGCCTCTGAACCATTTTTGTTGCTCTTCACTGGATTCTCTCTGATTTGTCCACATCCTTTCTGTAATGGGGGGGCCCAAAATTGAATAAATTGAATACAATACACCAGATGTGGCCTCACCAGTGCTGAAGAGAGGAATAATGACTTCCCTTGACCTACTGGCAACACTCCTACTAATGCAGCCCAGTATGCCGTTAGCCTTCTTGGCAACAAGGGCACACTGCTGGCTCATATTCAGCTTATTGTCCGCTGCAACCCCCAGGTCCTTTTCCACAGAGCTACTGCTCAGCCACTCAGCCCCCAGCCTGTACTGGTGCATGGGATTGTAATGAGAACAATAGCAGCAGATCAGGCAGGCGTAAAAACGAAGAAACGAACAACAAAAAAAAAAAATAGGTGAGGAAGAAAAAAAAAGCA